TTTTCCTCTCCTGAGATGATGTGCATAGTCACATGTGCCAGAGTTCCAGGAAGTAAAGGAGATATAGTAAAAAAAATGGCCACTATGAGAAGATTGGGGAGCAAAAGAAATTCAAGGTATAAGAATAAAAAGCTAGGAATCGTCTAGATTTGTCTAGAACATTTTTAAGTTTGCCGACACTCCCTGTGGGCACCACTACTGAGGGAAGGAGGTCTACATTTTTCCTGCCTGGACTGTAAAGAACACTGTCCACAATTTCAGATTAAACCTCTTTCCTCCAACCCTAAAGTGACACTAAACTCAGAAGTTAAATCCTAAACTTTCATCTGTCCCTCCAGCGTTGTGACGTCACTCCGATTCAGCGCTGACTGCTCTGTCCCTCCGATCCAGCGGTGTCTGCAGGCGGGTGCACGCGTCCATAGACTTACCTTGCGTCTCTGCTCGTCTCCCGGCCAAGAATCGGAACTGCGCATGCGCCCGCCCCAAGATCCTTGGCGGCCGTACGAGCAGTTCCTGATTCTCGGCGCGGGAACGAGCAGCGATAACGAGGTAAGTTTAAAACCAGCTCAAGCGTTTTTTTTCTGTTTTTTTTGTTTTGTTTTGTTTTTTACTTCTTGCCTATATCTACTGCTTGCTAGCAGTAGATATAGGAAAAAAAACGGAGGGGTTAGAACCCCTTTAACTATTACTAAAAATGTATCTTATTTGTGTATCACTCGGCTGTAGATCCTCAAATCATCTCTGAATTGGTTCTGACACTGTCCTTCCTTCTGGAGGGGGGCTACTTTTGTTCCCCATGGTTCCTGTGTGTGTTGTAAAGTAGTCACCGCTCCAAGCTCGCTCCCATGATGGACTACAATCTTTTGTTTAGTTTACTAATTTTTATTGAGATTCTAGTCCATCCCGGGAGCGAGCTTTGAGAGGTGACTACTTTACAACACACACAGGGACCATGGGGAACAAAAGTAGCCCCCCTCCAGAAGGAAGGACAGTGTCAGAACCAATTCAGAGATGATTTGAGGATCTACAGCCGAGTGATACACAAATAAGGTACAGTATTGTTAATAGGGTACTTGAATGCATTTAAGCTCCTGAGTTTAGTGTCACTTTAAATTGGGTCCATGTGTCCTCATCAAGGATCTAAGAACTCTCGTATATTAAGAGGATTATTCACAAACGAGCCCAAGGATCCAGCCGTAGCTTCGGCTGATCCTTCGGCTGTCTTCAGTCTATCCGTTGGGCTGCTGTACGGGCTGTTCACAATAGCCCGTACAGCGGCCAAGCCGAACGCATATGCCGTAGTGACACCTGAAGCGGGGAGAAAGGTTGGCCAAAGCAGAACGATCTCCCTGCGAAAGGCAACAGATGGGTGGAACCAGCTGTAATGTCACGGCTGAATCTGCCCAGCTGTTGTCTTTCAATGACAGCTCAGTGTCCTCGAGGACACTGGGCTGTCATTACATGTTAACAGTTGGGCGGAGCTAGCAGTGATGTCACTGCTAGCTCCACCCAATTGTTTATATTTTGCTGGCATCTGTCAGAATGCCACTCTGTTTCAAAGATTTAATTTATTTTATAAACATATACACATATACATCAACATCGACAGTCTGCAAGGATAAACCTATACTTTATCACCCTGCTGACCCTCCCCACCAACCACTGGAGTGGTTGCCACAGAATGCCACTCTGCAGCGGGAGTTTGCTGCGAGCAGACGGGTCATCGGACGTCGGGTTTTAAAAAAATGATTTCTATTTATTTTTTATTTACAGGAGAACTATGAGGTGAGTGCTTTTCACTCACCTCATAGTTCTAGCCGACCTGTGACAATGAGACTGTCACAGGTCGGCTCAGTAGATCGGGAGGTGAGCGAACACATACCGGCGTTCGCTCACTTCTCAATTCTGTCACAGCTCTCTGCCGTGACAGGGGGAGGGGCTGGATTCCCCTCTCCCCGCTTCGATCTGCCAGCGCTGACTGGCGGAACGGACGGGGGAGGGGGCGGGTACAGCTGGCTCTGCCTCTAGATAGGCAGAGCAAGCTGTCACTCACGCAGCTGGTCATCTACGTCGGGATCCGCTCCGGCGTCTCAGTATACCGCGAGCTGTAGCTCGCGGTATACTGAGCTTAGGGTAACAGGAGGACGCTAGTTTGTGTCCTCCCGTTACCCTAAGGAGAACTATGGGGAAAAACACTGACCCCATAGTTCTCCTTTTAATCGAGTCGTCGACGTGGACAACACTGGACGTCGCGATTGACCTTAGGATTACGTCGGTGGATTTTTTTTTTAACCTATCAAGCAGAATAGCCGAGCCGAATGCCGCTTGGCTATTCTGGGGCAAACGGCAGTGAGTGAGCTGCCGCTCAGCCGATCCACAAACATGCAGAGCATATTTAGCTGATCGAAGGCAGCCGAGGTCCGGCTGAAATCAGCCGTACTGAGCTGAAGTGAATAGCCGAAGGCTCTGTTTATTTCGGCTCGGGTAATCACTCGGCTGAATAACCCTCTGTCTTCAATTTTCTTGTCGAATATGTGCTGGTAAACTCCTCTTTGACCTGCTGCCCCTCTTCTAGGGATAGCAGGCCAAATCCTGGGGTAAACCAATAGACACTAAGCTATACCGTGAATTTGTCTAATACCCCGTTCTTTTTATTCACGCTTCACTTTTTTGGGAAAGTGCACACCGAGTTGCTTTCTTCTATAAAAGCGAATCAGGGTTAATGTTTTAACTCTGGGGCAACACTGACATTTATGTAGAGCCTTTCCCTGCATCATATTAGTCCTGGAAGGAGCTCTTTTGTATCCTGTTTGCCTTCAACATCTTGAAGTCGCAAGATTTGCCCATGGATTGCCCCATTAGGGCTGGCATTTAAAAAATACAAAGTAGGCAAATTGTATTCTTCATTCTTTCTTCATACCCAAATGTCAACGATGCAGATTGAGCAAGGTGAGCAGTGTGGGAAGCTGTGTATACACAATAGAGCCTCAGTACTAGGCACACAGGAGTGCCTGATAGCCCGATGATAATAGACACTGGCGGCCAATGTGCCAGGGGTCTCAGTACCAGAATGTGGAGAGCTTACTTACCAGTGCGCCCAGCAACCCACATAGGGCTACTGTGAGGTGCGTAATGAGATATCGAGACAGCGAAGGGATAAAATCTGTCTGCTGATAGGAAATGACTGGTGATTCCAGCATATTATGTGTACAGAGTGAGAGACAGAACTAGTTACTTCTAGTGTGATATTTATACAGAAGGAATTTAAAAATTGGACTGAGACAAGCTTTATAATCTTTTTAGAATGTGATTCCACCTAGAAAACATAATTACATGTGGCCTGTGAGCAATGCATTAAGTAGAGCTATCCGCTGTGCTGTGTGAGGAAACTAGTCTGTCCGGGCTTTCTGCCAGATGTTTGCCAGTGCAGGGCTGTTCTATCTATCTATTCATCCATCCATCGTTCAGAGCTTGCTTAAAGAGGAACTTCTTATCTTCTCCATATTTTCAAAATAACAAGGCACCTTTGAGAAATGTTTACTAAAGACAATCTACAAACACACACTTATAGAAAATTGTCGGCTTTTTATTCTTTGCATACCTTGTTTTTCTTTTCCTCCCTTTTCTTCTCCCGGTGGCCATTTTCACTAGGGGCAGATTAATCCATCTCCCTTTACTTCCTGGAACTCTGGCACATGTGACTAGGACATGTGACCATGCACATCATCTCAGGGGAGGAAAAAGCCTTTCCCTGAGATCTCCTGAGATTACAGATGAGATTTCTCAGTAATGTTCTGCTGATGTAACCTTCCCAGGTTGCAATGCTTGGGTACAATTACATCACTTTTGCCAAAGAGAACCAGGAAGTGGAAAACAAGAAATTGAAAGTAAAATGAAATTTTACTAATGAATGTAAGATGATTTCCTATCAGCATGTAGAGCTGTAAAGGTCCAATTTAACCACTTGAAGTCTGGGGTGTTAAACCCCCTTCCCACCCATGCCATTTTTCAGTATTCAGCGCTGCGGTACTTTGACTGACATTTATTCCGTCATGCAACGCTGTACTGAAATGAATTTTATACCCTTTTTTGGGGACAGCTAGAGCTTTATTTTGGTGGTATTTAATCACCACTGGGGTTTTAAAAAACAATATATTAAGGAAAAATTAGAGAAAATTTAAAAAAAACTGTTTCCCCTAATTCTAAAACATTTATTATCACCCAATTTTTTGGTAAAATATAAAAGACGGGGTCACGTCGGGTAAAAAGACACCAAACATGTCAAGCCTTAAAATGGCGCACGCACGCGAAACCTCAAAAAACTACATTACCCAAAATTGGCCATAGGCGACGCTTTAAAAGCTTTTACCGCTCATCTGTTTAGTATTATCAGTGATTTGATGGCCCTAAAATGATTGCTCTCACTTCGCCGTTCGCGGCAATATGTAACGTGTAGCGCAATTGTCGTTTTTGCGCGCTGATGCACCGGATGACGAGTCCGTCCGTCTTTTTTTTTTTCTATGGGCGGACGGCAACTGGTTAAAGTAAAACTGAAGCCAAAACGTTTTTTTAGTTTTGGATAGAGGGGGTTATAACCCCTGTCAGCTTGTTTTGTCATCTCTATCCCTTTGGGGAGATTTACGTTCTCTTCCTATCTAATGCAACAGGAAGTGAGAGGCAATCCCTTGTGTTTGGCAGGGTCACAAAAACTAGTGTCCCCGTTGGAAGATATCCCATCTATTCCTGTTCTGATGACAACCCACAATTGGGAATTTTCTGTCACTCTCAGTGATGACGTTCACCAGGACAAATAGGGTGAATCCTTAAGTGGACAGCAATAAAAACCTGACGGATGTTCTAATCTCTCTCCACTCTATCCAAAACGTATTCAAAGTTTTGGTTTCAGTTGCACTTCAAATCTCTAGAAATCTGTGTAGGACATTGCACACATTATCTGTTTGTGATCTTGTAGATCCTAAATCCAAATCTTTGTTTTGCAGTTCCTGCTAATTTTCCGTAAAGCAGCAGCTGGGGAGCTGGAAGAGGACAGCGGGCTAATGTCACTAGCCAAACTCTCCGAAATCGATGTATCCACCGAGGGGGTTCTGGGTGCCAAGAGCTTTTTTGAGGCCAAGGTATGCTGCAATGATAGAGTTGTGGAAAGGGCAGGGCACACCTGGAACCATGACAGAGATAAGACACTTCTCAGTAGTCCTTGGGACTTAACAGCACAACTATTAACTATTTATATTGCAGAGAACATGTTTGTTCATATGAGGAGGGTGGAGTAGATATATTTCATATATTCACCTTTATTTCAAGAATGAATTTAAAATAATGTCCTATACATTCCATACACACATCCCGTAATATCAGACAGTTTGCGCAGGGCAATTGCTTATTTCATGTAGAAAAGAAAGCAAAAAAAATATCCTATTATCCTATCCTATGACAAGAAAATAATCAGACCTGATGGTAAAAGTATTTCCAAGGTAACCACTTGTGTCTGTATGTGTGAACAGCCCAAGCAGTCTTCCGTGGCAGTAAATGCATCCGCAACAACACACTAAGTGGCTCGTTGGTGAATTTTACATTTAAAGAACACTTATACCCAAGCTGTGCTCTATGAAAGCAAAGCATCCAGTAATTATGCTAACCAATGTTAACATAATTGATCTCAGTGTTCAGTAGCTCTTATTGGAGCACTGAGTTCTACTGACATTGGGTTATTTTCAGGTTCCTTCTTTTGGAGTAACCCTAGTCCCAGTGGTGATGTGGCCAAGTAACTATTGTTCATGTAGAGCTGCAACAACTAATCGATTGTAGTCCATTAAAATCGACGATGGAAAACGCTGTTAACGGTTTCCATCATCGATTAGTTGGCTATCGATTAGTTTACCCTGCTCGCAGCTCCACACACGACTTGAGCCGCACACCAGATGACACGCCTCTTCTCCTCCCCGCTCTGAGCTCCCTGACGTGCCGCTGCCCGCCAACGATCGAGGGAGAACGGCACCTGACAGGCCCACGATCCCACATCTAAGAGTGCCTGCGACACCCTCCCCCCCCACATGGCGATTGGGTTATTTTAATGTATTACTGGGATAGTGGGAACTGTTGTATTCCTCTATAGCTGGTGGTAGATTGCGCTGTATATGTACCATCAGCTATAGAGGAATGCAAATCCCAGCAATACATTGTACACTGTATGTATATTGTATTGCTGGGATTTGTTGTATTCATTCATTGTATAAGCATTATACAGCGCAATGCAGAATACCACCAGCTATAGAGGAATACAACAAATCCCAGCCAGCAATAATACATTATACAGCGGCGCAATGCACGCAGAATACCACCAGCTATAGAGGAATACAACAAATCCCGGCAATAATACATTATTATGGCGGTATTCGGCGATATTCTTCATTGCGCTGTATAATGTGTTCTTACTGGGATTTGTTGTATTCCTCTATAGCTGGTGGTATTCTGCATTGCGCTGTTTAATTATACAGTGCAATAATTTACCACCAGCTATAGAGGAATACAACAAATCCCAGCCAGCAATAATACATTATACAACGCAATGCAGAATACCGCCAGCTATAATGTACTATTGCTAGGATTTGTTGTATTCCTCTATAGCTGGTAGTATTTTGTATTGTGCTGTGTAATGTATAATTGCCATTTTCTTTTTTTAACCGATTAATCGAACTTAATAATCGGCTAACCGATTTTGAAAATAATCGTTAGCTGCAGCCCTATGTGCATGTACATCCTAATCACCCCACTATTATAGTTCTTCCACACCCACCCAAGCTTCTCCAGTTGCAGGATCTTTTTATACAAGTTCCTTAAACGCCAGTTCTATCCTCTGGTTCTGTGGCAAAACAAATTCTACATTCCCCACCAATGGAACAGGGTGTTGCCACTGTGACGTGTATGCAGACATCACAGCCTTGGGGCAGAAGTCATACATAATTAGTCTTTTGCAGAGACTGCCTGAAGTCTGGGATGTCAGCTCGCACACAATCCTTCATGATGAAGAGAGACTGGATACTCTAGACCAGGCAGTTCATTAATCATTGGGAGGACTTGATTCTATAAATTGGGAGGGGGGTAAAGGTCAGTTTTCTTGCATTTCTTTGTTTGTTCTTATAGACTGAGGTGTTGTCAGTCTATTTAATATGATGGACCTCCTATATCTAGCAAAAAGTTTCTTTCAGAAAGAGTACAGAGTATTAGGATATTCTATATGCACTAATAAATATGCTGCTCTTCTGCATTTTTTTGTTTGTTTTGTTCCCAAGTAATGCTTAAAGGGTTAAAATAGCCTGAGGAGTCAGAGCACTGTCAGAGCTCACAAGCAGTGGCCTGGGTCTCCAGCAGTATGAAATGCCCCTCCCTGCACAACACTTCAATCAACAATGGTACTCAGGGGGCTAGAGTGCCGTTGATAGGAGCAGTATGTGGGGAGGGGGGACGACATGTTGGACTGCTGGACCCAGGCCACTGCTTGTGTGTGTGAGAGCAGCGTTATGACTTTACTAGGTGCTGCCAGCACTGGGTATTTTAACTTTTAACCTTGCTGCAGCACACAGGAGGTAAATAAAACCGAAAAGAGCAACATATTTATTATTGTGTATGCAGCCTGACTGCAGAACTGTTGTTATTATTACTGAGGGTTCTACTGGGCATTAACAACATGATCTTTTGGTGCCTGTTCCATTTTTCCAATGGGCATTAAGCATTTTGTTAAAATTGTGTTAGACTCCCCTGCACTCTAGTGATAGAGATCAATTCTTGGCTGTGATGGATACAAATCTGTTAATTCTTCTTTGTCCAGGTCTCATTGTACTCTCTCTTGTTTTATGCCCACAGGTTCAGGCCCTGAGTTCATCAAGTAAGTTTGAAGCTGAGATTCGGGCAGAGCAGGATGAGAGGAAGCGACAGGAGGAAGATAAGAAAACCCGCAGAGCTGCCTTCAAAGAGCTGAAGTCTGCATTTAATTAGTTGCTGACCGTTCCCTGACTCATGTCCGGCCTTGGTCTTGCGTTGTTCTAAACAAAACCCAGCCTAAGGCTCTGGCACTTTGGCTATTCTTTACAGTCAGGACTAGTCTCATGCATGTAAGCCTGCTGAAGCAGAGAACTTAGTCCATCATAATATTTTACTGCAAGGAGGTCTTGACTTGGGCTTAGTCAAGATGCTGAGAAAGGTCTTTCAACTCTTAAATAGCGTTTTTTGCTTACATATATCCTTCATTCCTAGTTCAAATGTGCCTTAGGTAATTGCTGCTAGCTGGTCAAAGTGCTGCCCTTATTTACCAGTTTCTGAAATGTTCTACTTCCAAAGGAAAATGGGTTTGTACATTCTATAAATGATATATTTTTTAACCATTCCTTTTAATAATGGCCACTGTAAACGTATAGGTAGACCCATAACTGTTCCTGACCCTTCCTCACTTACACTGGTATTATTAGAACTGCAAAATGTATAAGCATTGTAAAAGTGATCAAAAGAGCCCATCTTTTATTATGTCCATATTACTGCAGCCATAGCTGAACCGAACTGTGCAACGTGAGCCTTTGCTTGCAGTCTCCTAAACCTCTTTAACATTGCCTTGCATTGCTGTCTCTGATGATCTCATGTTGCCATATTTGCCTGCAGATGCCTCTCCGCAGTTGTTTTCTATCAGCCTAACTCTGAGGTGGGACAATCCTAGCAGTCTGCTGTCAGAGGTCATAGTGGGGCAGCGGTGAAAACATTTGTGCCAGTGAACACCGCAGTCCACAGCCAACCAAAAGCAATTATGTGACTGAAAACTTTGCAACAGTGCTCCGTGTTTATCATCCATATTTGGAATCTTGTGTATTATATGCTGGCTCTGGAATATATCTAAAGTACAAGCATTAACCAGTTCTAAAGGAAGTCATATGACTGAAAACTGCACAGTAGACACAATCCTCTTGGCTAGTGATGCTAAAAATAATGACGTGGTAGCAGTATTTAAACAAAGGTTCTGCAAGAACAATGTGTACTCCGCTGTGAAATTGGTGCCATCTGTTAAGGTGCCCATACACCGTACAATTTATCTTCAGATTTTCTGTAGTCCGATGGAAAAAGTGCAACAGATTGGCCCAGGTGGAGATTACTCCATCCACACAGTTAAGTGTAGATGGAGTAATCTGTTGCACCTTTTCCATCTGACCACAGAAAATCTGCAGATAAATTGTAAGGTGTGTGGGCAGCTTTAGACTAAGGCACTCTAGCTAGTGTAGAGCTTCAGGTCTCGTGAGGCCCTACCTGGTCTTGCAGTTTACAGCGGCTGGAGAGCCTCGATAGGCTGCCAGTATATTACACTGTGCAAAGGTAAGCACTTCTTGCAGTGCTGGCTGCTGAAGGAGAACGGCCTATAATTTGGAAGCCACATTTATGGCACCCTGCAGAAAGACAGGAAAATGTGGGCACATATTGTTCAGTCTCCTCTGTACTGATTTATATAGTAACCTTGTCAGTTTGTATAGGAGAGAACCGTTCAAATGTGAAATGTTGATTGAAGATTAGAATCCATAGCTGCCCCTCCCTCACTGTGTGCTTATAATGATTTTGGCAAACCTGGTACTTTAGCTGTTAATAATTGTTCCTCGTATCAGGGCCTGGTGTTACTAGAGACATAGCACACCTGACCCATATCCTGGGACCATGTGATGTACACCTGGACAAAGCTTTCCAATGATGTTCAGTCATACCTGTTTTGGCTACTATTATATACTCATTTTATATAAATATGAAAATATGTTTTACTAATAAAATTGTGTATATAGAGATGTGATTCAGTAATAGGATTCATCTATCAGCGACTGGTTGGTTGGACAATAAGGCCCGGTTCACACCTGGGCGTTTTGTAGGGTGTTCCTACGCTCTGCAAAACGCTCAAACACCGAAATCCCATTATTTCCTATGGGTATGGTTCACACCTGGGCGTATTACAAGTTGTATGAACGCGCTACAAAACGCCCTACGCCCAAAGAAGTACAGGAGCTTCTTTGGGGCGAAACAAAGCATTGTTTCTTTTTATTTTTTTTTAAACTTTATTGAAATGTCAATGTGGCAATAAGGTGAATTGTTTTCACCTCAGCCCAGCTGCAGTGGGGCGACTGGTGCTGGCTTGAGGTGAAATGCGGAAAATAATTGATTGGGTAAAACTTAATATTCAACTATTCCAACAAACTTTTTTTTCCTTCTTTGCACATGGGGCTAAAGCCAGAAAGAGGGGTTTTACCTGATGCATAGAGTGCCGCCCCCCTTTCCCCACAAGTCTTGCTCTGCTGGTGTGTGTGTGTGTCCCTTTTGCGTCCAAAACAGCCCTGATCTGATGAGGCATGGACTCCACTAGACCTCTGAAGGTATGCAGTAGCATCTGGCACCAAGTCAGTAGCAGATCTTTTAAGTACAGTATGTTGCGAGTTGGGGCCTCTATAGATCAGACTTGTTTTTCCAGATTGCACCAGTCAGCACCTCAAACTCGTCGTTGTGTTCCTAAAACCATTCTTGAACCATTTTTTCAGTATGACATTATTCTGCTAAAAGAGGTCACAGAAAGGGTGTACTTGGTCAGCAACAATGTTTAGGTAGGTGCTACGTGTGCTTGGCCCAGGAGATTCCTCCATCCACACAGTTTAGCGCAGATGGAGGAATCTGTTGCACTTTTATGTTGACCATAGAAAATCTATAGGTGTATGGCCAGCTTTATGCTGACTTAGTGTGTTGCTGGACCTATACCTTTTGCCCCTCACGCCAATTTATGTCACCCCATTCCTATTGCAGTTGACTGGCTAGCCCTAGTATCACACTAACAAGATCAGACATATCTGTAAAAAATAAATCAAGGCAACTGGACTGGCTGTATTTCTCTTGAAATCAGACATGTTAACCATACACGGCACACTGAGCCTGGGGGCAGAAAGGCTGAAAGAGCCAGACTAGACAAGAGTCACCCTACTCTGGTAGAAGTTTGGTTGTAGGTGTGGAAACCCATAATATACACAGAACACAATTCCCTAAACAAAAATGCACAAACAGTGCAGGGACAACATTGTATAGGACCCAGCTAGATAGTATTGGGCAGCACGATAGCAGTCTGGAACATTTTATCATATAATGGTGTGTTTTACTACCAGATCCAGCCTTCGCGTAGCCGGAGTGGCCTTATGCACGTTGCACATAGGATAATCTAAACTCTACGAGCAGTGGTCACACTGTGTCCAGGTACGATAGACAGGGTGTAGTACAAAACAACTCCATAGTACCATGTCCTATTGGCATAATTTGCTCTGTGTTTGGCAGAACTGGCACAGTCTGATGTAGATGGGGCTTAGATGGCCTCCATAGTGGCCATCTACTGCTATCTTAATAGTTTCTGAGGTCTGGTATGAATTTGTGTATCCCTCAGGGCAGCGATGGCGAACCTATGGTACGTGCGCCACGCAGAAGCCCCTGGTGGCAAGTGAGCCTAGGCAAGGGTGTTTGAATTCGTATTGCCTGATGCAAGGCGGGTTGTTTTTCTTCTACATTTAGCCCTGCTTCTTCGGGCAAGCAGGACTAAATGTACAGCGGGGAAGCCGCTGCTTGTTAGTACAAGTGATTTTGGCGATCACTTGCATTAAGCCTGCCAGGTTCAATAAAGAGAAAAAAAAGAGAAAAATTAAGAAATAATAAACTAATTTAAGTGATTAAAAAAATAATAGAATCACTAAAAAATAAAGTAAAAGATAATAAAATAAAAAATAAAGTGGTAAAGTAAAAATAATAAAGAAAAAATTAAATGTTTGTGTGTTTCCCTATTTTCCCTAAGGTGTTTTTTAAACCCCAGTGCCCAAACTAAAACACAATACCAAACTAATTTTCAGTGTTGGCACTTTTGAGATAAATTGATTTTGCGCCGCAGTTTGGGCACTCGGGCTCAGAAACATTAGCCATCACTGCCTTAGGCCTTGTTCAATCTTGTAAGAGAGCATTGTGTACAGCAAGCTTTTTCAAAGTATTTGCATATCTTTCTGCAAGCTTTAAGCAGCTTCACTGAAGCTTTTAAAGCACCATTCAGCTCCAGTTTGGGAAGGTTAACCACAAATCTTTACCACCCATTCACACCTTTCTGATCTGTTGCATTAAAGGAGAACTATGAGGTGAGTTATTTCCACTCACCTCATAGTTCTAGCCGACCTGTGACAATGAAACTGTCACAGGTCGGCTCAGTAGATCAGGAGGTGAGCGAACACATATTGGCGTCCGCTCACTTCTCGATCCTATCACGGCTCTCTGCCGTGACAGGGGGAGGGGCTGGATTCCCCTCTCCACGCTCCGATCTGCCAGCGCTGACTGGCGGAGGGGGCGGGTACAGCTGGCTCTGCCTCTAGATAGGCAAAGCCAGCTGTCAGTCACACAGCTGGGCGGATCCAGACATAATTGTCGGGATCCGCTTCAGCTGCGGCGTCTCAGTATACCGCGAGCTACAGCTTGCGGTATACTGAGCCTAGGGTGACGGGAGGGCGACAGTTTGGGTCCTTCACTTACCCTAAGGAGAACTATGGGGAAAAGCCTTAACCCCATAGTTAAAATATAAAAGACGGGGGTTCACGTTGGGTAAATGGATACCAAACATGTCAAGCCTTAAAATTGCGTGCGCCCTTGAAACCACAAAAAACAACTATACCCAAAATTTCCCATAGGCGACGCTTATAAAGCTTTTACTGCCCATCACTTTCGTGTAAGCAGTGATTAATGGCCCTAAAATGATTGCTCTCACTGTGACATTCGCGGCGATATGTCACATGTGTGGTGCAATTTTTGTGTTTGCACAAAACATTTTTTTACATTTTTCCCCCTAATGTCACCTAGAAATCTGCGCCACCAGCTTCTTCTCCTAGCTCTAAGAACCGGAGAATGTGCATAGTGACACCGGAAGTGATGTAATACACGTCACTTCTGAGTCTAGTGATTGGAGGAGAGATCAGCGACTATAAGCTTGCTGATCTCCCTCCGATCGCTGAAGGGAGACCCGCTGTGCCAGGCCCAGGCCTGCATTGGGACAGCGGAGCCCAGGGTAGCCGGGGCAGTGGTGGGGGGCACACATTCAGCCACAGCGTACAAGTGATCTGGCAGCTGTATCTGGATGCAGGATCACTTATATCTAAACAGTCATCACTGGCTGTTTAAAGTGATACTAGGAACACAGCTGCAGCAGCCATGTTCTTGGTATATCCACTTCAGGACCTATTTTGAAGGTGGGCAGTCCTGAAGCGGTTAAAGCGATGCTGAGCTGCACTGAAGTCCGACCTAATTGCGCC